ATGCTGTGCAGGAGATGGCAAGCCCTTCCTGCATGACATTGAGCAAAATCGGCCTCTTATTCTCCAGGAGAAACCATAAGAGCTCCTGGAGTTCAGAATAGTTGGAGTAATCGTAATCGGCCAGCATTGAAGTGTAATTCGCTGCTCTAGAATCAAGGTAGCTGAAGAATAGACTTGCACCCCATGATGTCCATCCGTTTATAGTCCTTGTCCTGTGGTGTGGACCTCATGTTGAGCTGTTTTGCTCTGTGTCTGACCGAGTTGACTACTAAGGAGTTTGGGGGAGGGTGTGTAAAGAGGAAGTCCATGCCTTTAGGTATTATAAAATACTTGCAGTCAGCCCTCTTATTGGTGGGGGTAAAGGATGCTGGGATTTGCCAGATGTTATGGGTGGGGTTTATAATGGCTTCATCCATTGGGCAGGTGATCCTGGAGGATGTTGGGGGGGAGGGGGAAAGGCCATAAAGTGCCCAAGAGGCAATATTGTTTCTCTTGCACTTCCTGCAGGTCTCATTCTTGTGCCATGGCTACTCTTAAAAAGTTCTTGGAACTGTTTAGAATCATTGGGGTGGTAGAAATGATTGCCTCGTCTGGCGAAGAGGAGGAGTTGTGCATGGGAGGACCTGTCTTCCCCCTCAGAGAGTTGTCCAAGTCAGACTGAATGGGCTCTGGAGAGTTTGGTGCTGTGGCTGATGGTGTGGCTTAAGGAGACTGAAATGGTCTTTTCAATGTTGTTGACAGAGCAATGTGATGGCTCCTATGAGAAGACCAAGACCCCCAGGGATGCCACTGTCCAGGTGGGAGGAGTGTGGATGTGGCCAGTGTTGAGAGTTCCAAGGTGATGGTGGAGGAGGGTGAGGATGTCTTGAAGAGCGAGACTCCCAAGGTGGGTTCTGCTGAGTTGGACTTGAATGCTGAGATGAGTCTGTGTGACTCGGTGTTGGCTTCACTGGGGGAGATTGACATGACCAGTGATCTTGGTGAGTGAACGGACCGCACCGATGAGCACGGTGATGTTAGTGCCAGTGAGGCCCGGAGGAGGTGGGGAGTATGGTGCCATGCACATTGTGGTGGTGATGCCAAGGCTGAGTGTGTGGTACTTGGTGCTGCAGGTGCTGTTGGAGATGGTGCCTTGGGGAGAGGCATCTTGGTGTGGGGTCTGTTCAGTGCTGTATCTGGTGCTGTCTCCGATGCCTCCTTCTGTGCCAGTCTGTGCCTAGCAGGTGTCATGGATTCAGTGCCAACTGCTTTTTTTGGGGCTCAGAGTGGGCCCTTTTTGTGGTGCCAATGACTTCAGAGGTGCAGGCTTATTGCCAATGCTCACCCTCAAAGAGCTCAGTTCCGGGGAATAGCAATCTGGCTGGGGAGACCCAGGTTTTTGCCTTTGACTTGCCAGAAAAGGTAGAGAGATGAGTTTTGTCCATGCCTTTCGGCTTGTCTGATCCCACGGTGGCTGAAGGGACTTCCCGTAAAGATACATTTTCAGCCTGTTGGCGCGAGCGCAGCGCGCTCTAGCTGTAAGATTGGAGCAATGTGAACACTTTTACATCACATGGGCCTCTCCTAGACACTTTATGCACGAGGTGCGCCAGTCAGAAATGGACATTGCCTCTCGGTAGGACTCGGGGATTCAGGCATGAGGAAATCAACAAATCTGGGTGAATGATGAAGAAAAAAAAATTAAGTAGCAACCATAAAAAGCTTGGGGATTCAGGCATGAGGAAAACAACAAATCTGGGTGAATGATGAAGAAAAAAAAATTAAGTAGCAGGTTGGGAAGGATTCAAAACTTGGAAAGGAGGAAACCAGGAGCATTAACTATTTGTTGGATTTTTGTGAAAAAGGAGTGAAAGAACGGAGCTCCGTCTGCTGCTGAGGACAGTAGAGAAGGAACTGAGGGGGCCGTGCCATGCATGTACCTAACCAGCATCAACGGCACAAGAAGGCGCCAGGGCACATGCACGGCGTAGTGGGGGGCTACTAGAAAAAAATCTCTGGTTGCTGGCACGAGGATGCACCAGTACCCAGAGTGGAGCACCCCTGGGGACACCACTCAAAGAACAACTGTTTTGTTTTAAGATCAGGGAACGTGCCCCGCTCCTCCACCCATGATCAGTCTGGCTGGCCACAGACCATGGATTGGTGGGACAGAGTGTGAGTGGGTGTCCCTGACAGACTGGCGGAGGGGTTTGCCAGATGTTCAGAGCACTGTATAAAGCTGGAACCCCATTAGGGGATCGCTGGGAAGAGATTGCTTTCCCTTCCGGTGCTAGAGGAATAATTTCTGACACTTTTAAAAGGAGCGTTGTCTTGTGCAAATAAAAGGCTGGTACCCTGCATATGTCCAGATAGGGGCACTGCCTGGCCTCTCTGAGTTTTTGGGTAGGAGATGGGCAGGGAACAGTCGGTTTCAGCAGCAATGCGGAAGGAACCTGAGTGATGAAGCTGCACCCACAAGGTTACATTATCTCCAACCTGAGACCTGAGCTTTTTGTACTCCCAGCACTTGTGAACCTGCCCTTTGAGCCCTGGGCCTCTTGCTCCCTCCAACACCTGGTGCCTTCTTTACAGTAATTACTGTTGCTACTTTGTGAGAGGTGCTGGAAGGGCCCAATGTGCAACCCCCAGACCCTTGCAAACTCCCACATCTTCCTAGGTTGCTTTTTGGCCGTTCCCCAGGCCTGCAGAACACTAGCACCATGACCTCCCCTGTCTGGGTTCACACAGCCGAATTATGGCAGCATCCTCTGGCCCAGGCCCACCCTCACTGTGCCAGCTAAGCACCTTGCCAGCTTACCTTGCCGCTAATCTCCTTGCTGGTTCTATGCTTCATCTTCCCCTGCTCACTGCTCATTATCAGCCTCCTTATGCTGCCTTCATAGGCTTTCCCACTAGCACCGAGGTAGCTGAAATCAACTCCTTGCTGTTTAGAACAGTGACAAGTGTCAGCTGTGTCATTTAGCCCTGCAGAGGGCTGTCTAGCTGAGCTGCTGGCTTTATTCCCTATGGCCCTGCTTTCCTCTTTCATTAGATGCAGCCTTCCCTCAATCCCCAGCCTCCTTCCCAGGCTTAAGAGAAGGAAAAGGGTAAAGGGATTTTTGCCTTCCTCATAGTCACTTAACAGAGTTCTTAAAGCACATCTGTCATGCATACGCCAGGTACAGACGGTGCCTTTCCTGACACTCCAGCTAATCTTAATCCTTCCAGGTTAACATAGCGCTAACAAGTCAGGTGGCTTTAACAGAGTTGCTGGAATCGGTCAGAGCAGAAGCTCACAGTTGCAAAGGGTTTGATGAAGACCACAATTGGGTCTTGGAGCTTAATGAGGCCATGCAGTACATGCCAGAGTTTGAATGTCAGTAGCCTTTCCACCAAGTCCAGGTCTCCTGTCAGTGCCCTATTTTTAACTGGAAATTAAATGTTTCATGGTTGATTGGAGCCACAGCCTGCTGCCTCCTTCTGGCATTCTCATTCGTGTCCTCTCTAGCTTGCATTCCACTCACAGGTCATCCAACTGCCTGGGGTTGAGCCAGCCCCTAGGCCCTTTATAGCTATTGGCCAACTGAGATACATGTGACTTTTCTGATGTAGTGACTGCTTCAGCCCTCTCCTGGGAAAGTAGTAAGTTGATGATGGCCTCAGTCCATATTGCCTGGTTCTCAGACTGGGGTAGAGGCCAGATTCAGAGTCTGGTCTTACAAACCCTGCAAAGCCCATGAGAGTGCTGCATTCACACACTGCCACTGCTGGAGTGGGCCCTCAATGGGCCACAGAACCTGAGCTTGTCCCTCCTCTTTTCCCAGCTCATGCCTGAGGCAGTTTTACCCAAGGTCAGGGAGCATCATGTGGGCCCAGCTACAGCACGTTCTCCTTGATTACTCAGTGAGTAACCATTACAATTCAGCCTCACCTTGTCCCATAGACAGAATCCACCTTGATATGCACCTCACTGCACTGGATCTACTCTGCTTGCTGAAGCCAAGAAGGCATGCTAGCTAGATCCTGAGTGTGCACTGGAAGATATTAGCTGCTCTAATTTATGTCCCACAGAGCTGAAAGAATAGGCCAGGGGAGCTGGGACAAAAGGCAAGGGGTTCGGGTTGAACATGTTGCGGAATTAACAAACAGCTGGAGGGCTGAAAAGATCAGAGCCACTCAAACAGATAGCAACAGTCCAAAGGGCCTCAGGGGATTGAGTACGAGGCAGCAGCAGAGAATGAGAAGCAGGGCAGCTCAGGCTGGGAGAAACCTACTGTAGTTTTGGGGAGGAATCTAGGTTGCATGCCTTGGAGGAGTGAAGGGACATCCCAGAGCAAGAAGGAATTTATGAACTTGACCTAAGGCCATGCCACAGGCAGCGCCTCCAATAGTAGAACTGTGGGTTTGGATTCAATTAGAGCATGGGCTTAATGAGATTGATTTAAACTGAAAAATCCTGAACACAATAGATGCTAATTCCATGTATCTATGCAGCAATTTTGTCGTGTGGAATTGACCAGGTAATACACACTTGCTTTTCTAGAATAATTTAGGAGAAAAAAAACCCCATAAGCCTCTATCAGATCTTGGTAATTCAGGAAGTAATATACCCTCTATGGAGTCAATGCCCCAGGATAGTGTTTAAGAGGTGGTGTGCTATAGGAGCCATAAATCCCATTTGTGGTCATTAAAGATCACCCAACTCTAACCATGGCATGAACAGTTGCTCTGGGGTCCTTGCCAAAATCCAGCACAAGGTGAATAGTGTTCTACTTAACTGAATTCTCCTGCACCACCTCTCATGTATTGTTACGAGTGTTAGGCAGCTACCTCAGAGGTATCTACATGTCATCAATGAATTTAACAATCCTCAGTGCAAATTTGTAACATGGATTGGGATTCTCGGGGAGGAAAAGCACTGTAGAAACGCAAGACTGGGACAGTATTTCTCAATAGCTATAGTTTCTGTTCAGACAGCTCAGAACGTGATAGGTCTCTAAGAATAAACCAAGAGGAGCCTCTTTGCAATATAAATTTGTTTTTATTGAAGCAGCAGTCACATGACCTTGCATCTAGAGTTTAGGATAGCGACAGAACGGATTTGGCCAGGTCAGCCAGCCCAAAAAGGATTTTTTTTGTTGCGCTAATAGACATGTCATGTTTAATACATACATTATCCAATATTGGAAAACCCAACTCAGAGATAGCAACGTGCTGATTTGTTGGAGGAACAGCCCCACTGGATGTGGTCTTGACAAACTTTACAGATCACCACCAAATAACATTACTAATGGGATCAAATTAAAAAAAAAAATGTGTGGTAATCAAAGCCAGCAATTTACACAGGTTCTTAGCTTGCCCCTATAGGTGGAGGTTAAAGTGTTTTTGTTTTTTAATGCACTGCCGCAGGGTTCCTCTCTCCATCAAACCAAATGGAATTGTAGACAGACATTGGCATCTCTTGGAAAAGTATCATGGAACAACATAGATAATTTAAGAAAACATGCTTATTTCTTGTGTTTTAATTATTACAGTCATGTCCACCTATTTTTGGAGGGTGGAACGAGGTGTGGGGTGAGGAATGGGAAGAGCAGGGGAAGAGGAGGAGAGAAAAAGCAGGGTTTTGAAATAAAGACCACACACTTTGCATTTTTAAATTTAATTTCCAGGCTAACCTACTTTTTATTTAATGCAAATTACAGTACCAGTTAACTATTTCCGAACCGAGTCACACAGAACAAAATGTATTTACAAGGGGATCGGGGGGCTGGGGAAAAAAATAAAACATTAAGCATACTTTCCACAAAAAAAGTTTATATTTAAAAAGAAAAAAATTCAGTCACAGAGGCATTCAAGTAGTAATAGTTATACAGGTTTTGCTTTTCCTTTAAATCAAGACAGATTTGCACAAGTGTATGCCATAGTTTGTATACAACCCACAGTCCTTAATATATATATTTATTTTTTAGATTTCTGTTTTTAAGATGGAAGTGGTCACGCTAATTTGTGTGTGTACAGGCCAAAGTGATCCATCAGCAACACATTAATGAACGCAAATTTTACAGGCAATAAAACAAAGAACACAAGGAAGCTACTTTTCTCAAGATGACCCCCTATGTACAGTTTTTAGGGGGTGGTGGTGTTGGTGGTGTTTTGCTGTTATTGCAGTGTTGCAAAATGAAACAAATTCAATGAACAAAAACTTACAAAAACCCCTGTGGAAATAATGGAAACATCAAGTATGCTTTTTTATAGTCTCAGAAAAGAGTCAAATACTTTTACTGTGCTTTTATAGTTTGTTTTTAAACTTCGGAGTAGCTGAGATTTCTAGTAGAGAAAAGTTTACTGGTAATTTTTTTAAAAAGCATAACAAGTCTGGGAAAATTAAAAATTATCTCTAGTTGCAAGCATCTGGTTTTTTTTTTTTTAGATAAAATTTGGTTTGAAAACTAGAAAAATGAACTGGGATCTTGGATCAGCCATTTTAAAAAAATGTAGTGTGAAATGACCATCATTCATTTTTTTCCTTAAAAAGGTCGCTAACTTTGAAATTAAAATACCAGTGTCTTGATTGATGTCCACCAGGGGGGACAGAGAATGTAATTAATTCCACCTCAGAAATATATGCAATTGCAGAGTACACAAAATGACAGATCAAGAACATACTTCATTAAAAACAAGCCAAAATAAAGTTAAATTTAAAAAGCTAGTAACAATTCCAAGTGGCCTGTCAAAAGCAAACTGACGTCACTGACCTTCGTGTCACCAGAAAGAAAGTGCAGCCTCTGCCTCACTGGAATGGACACGAGATGGATCAAAAACACAAAAACAGCAACCTTTGGTTTGGTAAAGAGTTAAGTGTTTTCCCATTCAAGACAATCTTATATGGAATACTAACAAGGTAGAAAACACAAGTGAACTAGTTTTAAAAACAAGGCCTTAGTGCTGGGCACACGAAATCAAGAATAACATTAATGCTATTGTGAAGAAAATAAACGGACTTTGGGAAGGGGGTGGGGAAGAGCAGAAAAGGGAACAGGAAATTCCCTTATTAGAAAAATGCTAGAGTGTTCTACAGTAATGGCTCCAGACCACCACAGTTATTCTGCAAGTTGTCTGGCTATCAATGTAGAATACTAGGGGGATTTTTAATTTTCTTTTTTGTTTGAAAGCCCAATATGCTCTCTCTTTAATACAGCAAAGAGACAAAAAAAAACCCAAAGGCTCCTGGAAGCTGCTGTCCACAAGACCTCTGGACACAGGGATTGGGGAGAGACGAGCAAAATCTAATCTAGCCACTAGCTACCAGGTGCCAAGAGGGCAAGTGTAAAATTAAACCAGTCATTGCTATTAGGGCATGGTGGCATGGGCAACTTTAGAACATCCAGAACAAAGCCATGGCTTGAATGAAATGAATTACAAACACAATTTCCTTTTGTTCCACTACTGACCATGGTATCACTGAAACCTTACAAGCACTCAAAAGGGTTATAAAGCAGGGGAGCAAAGATGCCATTTTGTCTGGGATATATCTGTTAAAAAAAAAAAAAGGAAATAAAATTAAAAAAAAAACTCATGGAAGCAAAGGCACTCCAAACTATATAGATACACTATACATCGCTAGAGTTATTGTTACAATAATACAGGCCGGTACCTACTGTACAGAGTTAAAACTATATGGCTTTAAAAAGCTCGTCTACATTTTGTCTGATTATTAAACAGAATCACTGCCCTGAATGGTAACTTTTTGCTCATTAATAACAGTTCCTGGGTCCACATATTTACATACAAAACAATAAAACTCAAAAATTTAAAAACAATCAAAAATAATGTACAAGCTTGAATTTGGTGAGGAGCTCCCCCCTACCCTTATTTACAACAACAACGGAGAAAAATATTCAAAGGCCTGGATCTAACAGGTACAAAGGGTTTGTGATCCTGCCATGATCTTTGAAAAATAAAGTCAGATACACCAACCTACATGCACAGAAACACAATTGCACTACCATGAAATAGAACCAAAAGAATGAGAGAAAAGCTCTTAATGCTCCTCCTCTAACAGCCTTGAATTTAAAAACAACCTAACCACCAACCTAACCACCTAAAACAACCAGCCTTTTACCACCACCTTTTATTGGTGTAAAAACAACCTAACCACCAAGGACAGCACCTAAACCAGCCTTTTACCACCACCTTTTATTGGTAATTAATTGTTCTTAAGTCAAGAGTAAATGTCTTTGCCCAGCCTTCCAGCTGCCTTGTCTATAAAGCAGATCTAGTCATGCTACTGTCACTTTTCCTGTCTTCTAAAATCTCTCTGGACATTTGATCATCCAGGCTCTCGTCCACCATTCAGGGCACTCACTAGCTGATTTCTTGTAATAACACTCCTTTCAGGCCTCAGTTATTTATTACAGGTGCTGGGACATGTTTTTGTTCAATTGTGGTTTCCTTTCTCTTCAGCTGGAATTGGTCTAGAGCGGCTTTAAAATATTTTGGTGTGCCCAGTTTTGTTAAATAATGAGGGGCATAATTAAGGTGGATTTCCATTCTCTTTCCAAATATCCATTCATCTGTGCAAACAACTCCCTGCCCAGACATCCACTGTTTATCAGACAGGTCAGAGGGAGCTCTACTGCTGCTAAGAAACATTCTTACAAAAAAATCTCACAAACTGGGGCAAATACGAAGCACAGTAGGGATGGGAAATGTACTGAATTCATAAACAGACTTCTTGCCACCCTGCAATGACTGAGTTTACTTAGATGCTACTGTGGGCTACTCCTGGGCCACACAAAGGTCTGTAAATGTCAGAAACAATTTATTGTGCCTTAAAGATCCACAGGTCAAGTAATAGCCCATAAGCACCAAGGTGACTAAGGTTTCTCTGAATGTGTATAAGGCCTACATGGACATCAACCTCAAGGGTAAGACAGATCAGGTCTCAAAAGTCTGTTTCTACATTGCAGCAGCAACTTCCCACTGCTCACCTGACTCTTCCCAAGGAATATTGCTTTAACTTGAGAAATGGAGACTTTGATTCTTACACCATTCACTACAGAAAAAACCCTCAAACTCAGACTGGAAACAAGCATTTATCTTATGCTTCAGACCGACCATTTAAAGACTGTAGAAAAAATAAAACTCAGAACGGAGTACTGTACTGTGTTACACATGTATCTATTTATATTATATACACACACTTCTAGAGTCAGCTTCCCCACAAGTTAGCAGGTACAAGTTACTGTTGATATCACTGATGTGTATTTTATTAATATTCTATCAATATGAAAACATTGTCATGGCAGCTCCAACATGCATCAATAAATAAAGATAAAAAAGCAGGAGATTAAAAAAGATGAAATTAAATACAGATTCTAGCCATGGATTTAAAATCAGAACTATCTATGGAGAGTGGTAATCTGCAAGCTCCAACTGCATTAAAAAAATTACAAATAAACCAGTAGATTGTTACAGTTCACATTATAAACCCTGATGTCCTTTTCCTGTGTGCATCTCGGGAAAGGGCATCCTGTTCAGAGCAAAAAACTGAAAAATGCTTTCACAGTGGCCACTTTCCAAAAGGCCCCTCAACTCTGCGTGTCCCCTTCCTCCTGGGGGATTCCATTCATCGTCTTCACTGCTGGAGATTAGAGCTGACTGGCCATTTTCTTGCACTCCTTGGCTCTTTTAAAAACAGAAGTCCAAGACCTGGTGGAGGAGCTCAGACTAGGCAAACAAGCTGCTTCAATAAAGCTAACCAGCTAGGTCTGACATGCGTGTGTATATATTATAAATATACATATACATATATGTATATATCTCTATCCCACTTGATTGACTTTTTCCACAATGAAGCTGCAGGTTTCCCTGTTGCTAGAGCTGATTTTTAAAGTAAGTCTTCCACTAACAATTTCAAGTTTAGACATACAGTAAACACCCCCACCCCCCTTGGCTACCTATTATCCTATCACATTTCCCCCCTCCCCCCAAACCATGCCAAGGACAGTTCTTCAGATAGCCTAGATATGGATTCACTTACAAGAAACACCTAGCTCTGTTGAATGACCCTGGCTAAGCTCCCAACCAAATTCAAGCTGTGCACTATACCAAACTCTGAAGCTTCACTTAAAAATGAAAATAAAAAAAGGTTATAAAAAAAAACTTCAGCAGAGAATGAGTTTTTTTTTCCCCCCTTCTTTCTGTTGTGGGAGGAGGCATGAGGCAAGAGTCCTGGTTCAAAGTACACAACAGCGAACTTTCGTTATGAAGAGATTGTCGAGGGGAGAGACATTGGTGTGTTCTATTGCTCCACTTTCCCTTCTCCCCCCTCCCCCACCTATTCCCCTGCCCTGGAGACCCCGCAGAGTGAGAATACAATGAAACTGGTTTGTATTTATAGATATTTTACAAGGTTAAATAGAACAACAATAATAAAAAAAATTGAACACTAAAATGAACAGGGTTTAGTTTTGTTTGTTTTTTTCCTCTTTTTAATTTTCTTTCCAAATGTGACCAGTGTTGCTGAGCGAGACTCAAATTACTGGTGATTTTTCCTGTGCAGCTGGCTTGCTTGGGACCACTTCAGGAAGAGTTGGAGGCTGATGCTGAAGCTGCGTTATTGGTCTGACCTCGCTCTCCTGCATTATCTGCCAACAACAGAAAGGGGAGAGCAAAAAGCAGTGTTACTTCCAAGCAACAGAAACATTAATCAATGGATTTGACCCCACAGTCCCCATCAAGTTAGAGCTGATGTACTCCGCATCACCGTGCCATGCTGGAGGGTTAAGATGCTCTGGACACAATCATGGTGAGGAGGGAGTGATTCATTGGGGCATGATCTGCATGAAACATATTACCGACTCAAATGCAGCTGCAGAAAAGCCTTTTTCAAAAGCTGAAGTCAGCCCTGAACTAGAGTTTAGAGCCCTGTAAGCGTGCCTAGCTGTATGTCCTGCTGCAACGCTCATGGTCCTATTAGAATTCAGTAACTTTACTGGTATGATAAGCACACTGGCATTCCCAAGGTTCAGACATGAAGTAGGTGTGGCTACTGGTGCTGAGGCTTTATACTGGGTGTTCATCTACAAGAAGCCATCTCTTGAATGTGTGAATGAGCAGAGACAATCAAAGCAAGAGGCCATAGTCTCTGGTAGAAACAGCTTGCATATTAATGTGCGATCCATGCACTTGTTCCCTCAATACATGTCTTTCAAGTATATTGGTTTATTTTGTGTTGCTCAGCACAACTTAGACTTCCACCTTCCTAATTGCTGAAGCAGATTAATGTCCAGGCTGAAGCCAGTAGCAAGGTATACACAATTATACTGCATTGTTGGGGATCAGTGCCGGGTGATAAATAATCTGAAACACCCTCTCTCTTCCCTAACTCAGGCAACAGTATCCAGTGGCAAGAAACTCTACCATGTAAGGTGGACAAATATCAAGATGCTTTCAAAAGAAGTGCAGCAAAGGATTGTTTCTTTTTTTCCCCCCTATTTGGAAGCTATTCATTCAACTGCAAGGATTGTTTCTTTTTTTTTTCCCTATTTGGAAGCTATTCATTCAACTGCATCCTTTCATTCAAGGAGAGGCACGGATCATTTCAAATGCATAACAAAACAGGAATCTGTTGGCAAGCAGGATCTTTGACTGATCAAAAGATCCTTCCAGAGAGAATCTCAGTGTTTTACTGGTGCATTTCTGAACATTGAGAGAGAATAGGTGAGGTGTAAGAAGACTGGAAAAATTAAAAAAAAAGGATAAAACAAAAGCCAAGATGTTGTTAAGCTGAGTAAAATATTAGCGGGAACAACACAGAAACCTATATATATATATATATAAACGAACAAGAATCTACGAAAGCCCCTTTAATATGGATAATACAAAATTGGCTGACAGATGATGAAGAAAAAAATGTATGATCACTTAAAATACTAAGCTGGAGAAAGATAATGAATGAGGGTTAGCACAAAGCACTCTCTCTCTTCTCTCTCCACCCCAAACTTTTAAGTGTTGGTAACACTGCTAGACAATATTGATCTCCTGTGGTCAGGCAAATTCACTCGGCACTGGTCAGGTCCCAAGGATGGGCTAGAGAGGTTCAACCTGTACAGAGGAATCTATCACCTCATGGTTAAGATTAGATTGGATGAACAGCATAAAATGGAGCTCTTGAGAGAAACAGGCGCATTAAAAAAGGGAAGAGAATGAGTTTAGGTGAATACAAGAATACAGTTGAAGTAAATCATTGAATAGCACAAATACAACATTGGAGGCTATAGAGAAAAACTGGGGTTGACACCATCTCCAAAAGCACTGGATGACTGAAGAGTCAGACAATATGCTGCAGGAATGACAAGGTAAACAGAACATCATCTAGGAAAAAAGGAGACAAATAGAAAAAAACCATGACCACCTTCCTGCCTCTGAGAAGTAATTACCAGGCTGAGAAAGTAGGATAATTGAGCCAAGAAGGGAAATCCTACTCCAGATAGCAGCTTACTGTCCAGTCCTGACTTCTCTTCACCTCAGAATAATTCCTCAAATTCAGTAAAATATCACACCAATGTACTTAGGATAGCAATCCAATATTTTAACAGTATGTTGTTAGCATTATTGACAGCCCTTGAATTTAAAATATAGACCCTGCTGTTCTGACAGCTAACCTTTCGTACTAACTAGCTCATTCACTATCACATGGAACATACAAACGGACACACTGGGTCCTCACAATGGGTCCTCTAGCCCAGTAGCCAGTCTGCCAACAATGACCAATGCCAGGGGCTTCAGAGGGAATGAACAGAACAGGTAACTATCAAGTGATTCCCTCCCATTCCCACTGTATCCCATTCCCAGCTTCAGGCGAACAAAGGCGAGGGATACCCCAGAGCAGCCTTTGCATCCTCGCTCACCAGGCTAATAGCCACTGAGTGACCTGTCCTCTGTAAAACTTACCTAGTTATTTGATTGCTATAGTCTTGGCCTTCACAACGTCCTCTAGCAGGGAGTCCCACAAAATGACTGCATTGTGCGTGAAGAAACCCTTCCTTTGATGACCCCTAGGTTCTTGTGTTATGAGGAGTAAACAACACATCCTTATTCACTGTCAATAAATATGTAACTGGTGTGGAGACCTCTATCATATCTCCCCCCTAGATGTTTTTTCCAAGCTAAAAATCCCAGTCCCACTGGGTGAGTGTACACATAGAACGGAGTCACTGTGGTGCATACCCCCAGCATGCTGTGTGTGCCACTTGCTGGAATGTGCTATGACTCTTGATTTATTGCTCCTGAAGACAGCACAGCTAAAGCACATTATCAATATGTAAGTACCAAACAGAGGGGCATGGGGAAAGATCTACCCCAAGTATATAAATAAAACCTGCTTTTCTCATGGCCAGGTTTCTAGCCTGTGTTTTCCCTCAGAGCATACGCCTCTGATCTGTTGTGTGCACACATCAGAGCAGGGGTGGGGAACCTTTGGCTCACAAGCCGGATCCAGCCCATGAAGCTCAGGGCTCCCCAGCCAGCAGTGCACACCAGTGTTGGTGCTCCAGCCACACAGTGGGTGTGTTGCGCACGTGCGTGGGAGCCTCGTGGGCCTGATCAAGGCAAACCAGGCAAGGGGGAAAAATCTCAGCCAATGGCATGCTGAGCCACACAAAGAGAACCTGTCCCCCGCCCCCCACAGGAGCTATGCCAGGTAGGCGCCCCATTCCCCTGCTCTTCCTCTCCCACCGAACCCCACACCTCCATTCCTGTCCTGCTCCTGCACCCCTATCCCACCTAGACCCTGCACGCCTCGCCCACACCCTCACCCCGCTTCCTGGCGGCCCCCTCCCACACTATGAACCCCTCATTTTTGGCCCCCATCCCAGAATCTAGGCAGGCCCCACAAAATCTACTAGCCCTGGAGTTTGAGGGGAGTGAAATGTCTCTTTTTGCTGCTTCTCAGCTGGGGACCACATCTGTGAGGTTTTCCTTTTCTCCTTCTCATTTGGGGACCAGGTCACAGTGAGGATTGCGATTTTTCTGGTTTGCTTCTCACTCGTGTATGACCCCTGAATGATTTTTCTGTAGGCTAGTGGCTCCCAAACCCAAAAAAAGTTCCCTGACCCCGGATTAGAGGAAGGAATAAGCAAGGAAACAGTCTCGGTTCCCATACTTGTGGGTCTTCTACAACAATCTATACAAAGGCTTTCCAATGTGGGGTCAGATTGTACATGCTAATCAGGCAGCTGGTACATGCTTGCAAACACCAACGTGGCATATACCATGCATTCCAGGAAATGCACAGCCTTGGCTTTTCTGCAGGGTCTGTGCTAGCACAGGCCAGAGTGCAGGCTTGGGAGCAAGGTGAGTACAGCTTATGCCAGTTCCCATGTCTCCATACTAAGATGCTGCACTGAATACTCCCAGTACACTAAGATTCCTCTCCTTCCATAGGGAGTCAGCAGTTAAGCAGAGTCCATGAGGAAACCTGTGCTTCTGGCAGAACCAGAAAAAAGCCAAGTATTTTGAGGTAGATTCACATTTGTGCCTGTGACACACATTGTGCCTGAGGTTCCTGCTAAGTCTCCCCAGTGGGAATAAATGTTATGTGCACTGAGGCATGTGTGATGTGCACCTGCAGCAGAAACAAACCACTTAGCTGTGGGCACTCTACTAATCAGTGGGTGGCACTGGAATCTCTCCAGAGCAGCTGAATGAGCGCACAGTTCACAGGGAACAGTGCTGGGGAGATGCCTGCAGCAGGCACACCTCACCAGGTTGTGGCTTGGGATTGCAGCAGTGCTTAGGGTGAGACTTTCAGCCAGGTATGGCCAACCTGAGCCTAAGGAACCACAGTTTACCAAGGTACATTGCCAAAGACCTACAGTAATTTGTCAGTGGTCCCCATCAGGTGCCTCCTCTCCCATCTCCAGCATCTTTTGCCCACCAGCAACCCCACCGATCGGCACCTCCTCTACTTTCCCCGCGCCTCCTGCCCACTGCAGTCAGCTGTTTCATGGCACTCAGGAGGCTCTGTGGGAGGAGGGAAGGAGAGAGGGTGCAATACACTTGGAGGAGGAAGTGGAGCCAGGAGATGAGCACTGGAAATGTGGCACTTGTAGCTACAGCCCCGGAGTCGGTGCTTGAGCAAGGAGCTGCATATTAACTTCAGAAGAGCCACATGTGGCTCTAGAGCCACAGGCAGGCAGCCACCCCTGCTCTTAGCCATAAGCCTTCTCTCATTATCAGCCTGACCGCTCTGAACGCAAAGGAGACAGATTATGTACTGTGTTTAGGCCTTGTTACTGTCACCACAGCCATCGCAAGAGAGGTCGTTTTCTACTGATCTTTAAGGCAGCATTTTGCTGTTGCTTCTCCCAGTCCTTCTGCAATTGCCTCCACTTTCTGGCTGGGTACGTGGTATCCCTCAGAAGCCTACCAGAAAGATGGCTACATAGAATGGAGCTGCAGCCAGGGAACTACTCCCAGATGCTACCGAATTTAAGAAAACTTGCCATAGGGCTTTTCATTCCCAAAAGATCACAAAGCTAACCTGGAAGATAATCTGCCAATAATAGAGGGTCCTTAAAGGACAATTTAGGACTCAAGAGGAAGGGTAGGGTGAGAGAGAATTCATCAGTGATGTTGTGACCCTAGAAATCTAGGGCATCATGTGGGTTTTTTTTTTGTTCTTTACAGATAACTATAAGTTAGTGATCTAAGCCGAAATCTGGCAACCAGAAATTTCAGTCACTGACACCCAGGGCAATCTGTGCACTTTTCTGAGCCTCATCTTCCCTATCTAAAAATTGGGATAATACTTGCCCCTCTCTCTGGGAGATGAGAATTAAATGCTTTCCACGTGCTCTCAAGGTGAAACTGCACATCTATGTGCTAAATATTACTTTATTATGAATATCATCATAGTCTCATGCAACTGTTCTGTGCTGGCAGGCACCTCGGGTTCCATTCTGCCCCACCTTGCTGCTGGAGATGCTGGAACATCTCAGTTAAGACCAAGAGAATTAATATAGCAGGACATAACAGGAAGTGATCCCTGCAGCTGTGCTGGCCAAGCTCCCATGTGGGGCGTCTAACGCCTTCAGGTAGTTCCTTTGCTGGTCAGCATTTCTATCTGGCCACTTATTGATCCAAGAAGAAAAATAGATGATAGTGTCATAAGGGATTTATTGGTACTTTTAAGGATGACCTGCACAACTAAGAAGTGAAAAAGCACTTTAGAATGGGTGTGTTGTTCACAAAGTCTATTAGAATACATTTATCCCACCCCCAAGTCCTCATGTATTCAAACACGCCACTGCCTATATTTTAAGGGTAATATGATAAGTTTACAAATGGTACCAGAGCAAAATTTCTCCTTGTAAAGCCAGCCCCTGTCGATACTGTGATCCCGCTCTATAGGCCTCCCTGAATGAGAGGTAATTTAAAACCAATGCATTTGGAACTCTCTTAAAAATTGCACACAATAATTCTCTTTCATATACTGCCATCATTCCAAGGACTGATCTCTCTCGCTGGACTAGACGCAAGGGATGTTCACACATCCAGGACTACATATTCCTGCTCCGAGTTACAGGCCACAGACTTTTTTGAAGAAATCAGTCTGGAACTTAACTTCATTTACAGGTTTGATTCCTATCACAAAGGTATGAATAAAGACATTGACTGGATGGCCCACTACATTGCACATCCTAATGGCATAAAAGAAACCAAAGGGAACTTAAGAACAATTTGCACCTTCTCTACCAGCTTCATGTAGCATGGAGACTCTAACTGACTATTCCTTCTCCTCCCCCCACCCCCATTCCCTATTTATTTTGGATCGGGACCTTTAATAACTCCATTCCTCTGAAGAAGTGAGTTGTGCCCACAAAAGCTCATGATACCCACCTACGTGTTTTGTTATTCTGCAAGGTGCTGCAAGACTTTGTTGTTTTTTAAGTTTCTATTAGTTTGGGAGACTTTTTCTCCTGTGAGCATTTCAAACAGGAGCTGTTTGAAGTACATTCCAGGAGGGACTATCAGCATGTGAAGTTCAAATAAAGCTGTCAAAGTTGCATGATAACTGCATTTCTGCATTCAGCTACCCACCCAATGTGCAAACACATTCAGACATGCTATGGACCAGTGGATTTCAAACTATGGGTCATGACCCAACACAGGGTCGCACAATGAGAGGCATTGGGTCACCTGGCTGTAGGGTGACCTGGTGACTAGTGGGGGTACTAAGGCAGCATTCTGCCTGTCCTGGCACTGTGGACCACGCTGCATCCCTGAAGCCACTAGCAGCAGGTCTGGCTCCTTGGCAGGAAGGAGAAGGGGGGGAGAGACACAGAGCTCAGTGTGCTGTCCCCATCATGAGCACTGGCTCCAGATTCCTACTGGCTAATGGGAGCTGGGGGAGAGTCTGCATCTGTGGGCAAAAGCAGTGGGCAGAACTGCTTGTGTGCCTCTGCCTAGGAGCCAGACCTGCCGCTGGCTGCTTCTGGGGCACAGCACGGTCCGTGGTACCAGGCGAGGCAGGAAACCGCATTAGCACCCCTGCTGCAGTGCTGACCAGGCTGCTGGAGGCAAGCCAGTGCCCCAACCACCAACTCCTTACCCCAGTCCCGAGGACACCACCCCCTCCCGAGTCTCTTCCTGCACCCCAAATCCTCTCATTCCTGGCTCCTCCCTCCAGAGTCCACACTCTAGTCAAAAGATATAATGAGTTGCAATCATCAATAATTTTCTTCATCTGGGTCGTGGAAAAACAAGTTTGAAACCTACTGCTGTGGCCCAGAGCCTCACCTCAGTAATTTGGTGTTGATCCAGAGACTCAGCTCGTGTAAATCACAGTGAAAATCAAATGCTGGTTGTGACTACACAGAGTGTGTGTCACGCACAGTATGTGTATTCCAGATGCTGGCTATGATTCCACAGTTAGAGCTGAACTGAGTTTTGCACTTAGAGCTTCAACCCATCATTTCCTACATACTTTTACACGTGCACAGGCGCACAGAGTGTACGATTCTAGAGGTGCAAGGGCAATTCAGTTTGCACATGGCTGCGTCATCTAACGTGTTTGCACAGGACCTAACACAATGGGTGTGACTAGATCTTCTAGGTGCTATTGTACCAAATGTTAAATAAAGGCGAGCTATTACTCCAAACACTGTGCATTTCACATGCCAACAGAATTTGGGGAGAGAAAGTCTAACTCTCCTGACCAGCATTACCATGCTAGATTTGGGAAAAACCACCAATCAGAGGTTATTTTAGAACAGTGGTGAGGAACCTAAGGCCCAGGGACCGGATGTGGCCCCTGGCTTGCCTGGATTCAGCGCGAGGTTTGGGGCTCCCCGACCTCCAGCACTGGGAGCCCATGTGGCATTCTATCCCTCCTGCCATCCCTCTGTGGGACTAGAGCACCCAAATCTACTATCCTGGGCCCCCCAAGATGTGCAAGGGGAATATGGGTGCAATGTCAGTGAGGGTGGGGTTTTGTTGGGTTTTTTTCTCCTTCTCACTTGTGTGTGGCCCCGACTGATTTTTCTGTGGGTCAGTGGCCCCCAAATCAAAAAAGGTTCTTTTCTAACCATTGGTTCCCCCTCCCAGTTCTGATCAGCATCAGCCCTTGAATTTTCAGCTGTTGCATTATAAAGACACAGATTTAATGTTAACATGTAACACTCCAGCCCCCATGAGAAGTGAAAGTAATTCTGTAATGAAACTCTAAGATGGGTTGTTTGTGAGGACTGAACCTGAACTCTCTGGATTTCAAAGTCTGAGCTAACAGATTAGGACCAGTGGCTTGAAGGCACTAAGAGTTAAACTCATAAAGAGACACTATAATCACTATAATTGGTCTAGCAGGAGGGGGAGGGGGGAAAGAAGAGGAGGAGAGGAGGAGGGAGAGTGTTAATGTCACATGATAGTTACCATGCAATTATAACCAACTCTAACTTGTGTTACTTTTAAAAACCTCCTGCTAGGTCTCCAATTAGCTAGCACCGCACCACTGGAAGCCTGCCTTTGAATAGTTTATTTACCAAGACAAGCAATTTGCTAGAAAACATTGCCATCTGACACAGGGCACCCACGCTGACAGCAAACCCATTCCGATGCTGCTCTGATACTGGTTTAATAATTACAAGACTTGCTGCTCAGAGTCTAGGCAGTGAATTCTATTGCCAATAGTAACACCAGATTTAAAGCAAATCAGGCGCATACAATTTCCAATAGAGCCTACTCCTGAAATCTTAACTCAAGCAAAATTAACACCACACAAGTTTGGGTCCAAGGTCATCAAAATAGCGGCATATACAAAAGACCATGAAGGGGTAACTGAATGTTATCCAACACTAAACTACATATCAAAATTCCCCAGTAACTGCAAAAGTTTCTCACGAGGATCAAAGACACATTTCCATTTCAGCTAAAATGGCTACTCATAGGAGGGTTAAAAATGCTGACATTAAATTAGCCATTTTTTAGAACAGCTCACATTCTGGACTTGACCTGGAGTGCTTTCCCTCATGTAAGCTCTTCAGACGCCAGGCTAAGCAAAGCAAGGACACTGCATTTTTAAACTCACACTAGGGAATTTCTCCAAACCTTCTGTACCCTGTGCACATCTTACAGCACCTCTGAAAGACAACACCTTCAGCCACACAAGACCTGGAGAGCGTACTGGGACACTGGCTCAGCACTAATTCAGAGAAGAGTACTCTCTCTTGAGCCATCAACACTGTAGCATGCAGCATCCTGGATTTGCCTTGGAGTACTCCTAGTGAAGATAATATAACACTGCACAACTTGTAAGTTCATATAGGATCACAACACACCATGGTGTATCTCCAGGCCAGCAATGAGGCTTTAGATGTGTTAGGCAGCTAGAGACAGAGACAAAGAAGAGAGCCACTCTCAGAAATGGCAAAAAGCCAGAGCATTATTTGGTGATGAAAGCTGCTAGAAGGGCATTCACAATAAGAAGCTGTTTCTGCTTAGGTGCTGCAAAAATCAATACACTGAAAGTGAATCCTTTGGGTAATCCCTTCTGCTAATGTATTTTGCATTAGTGAGAGAATCTTTACCTACATGCAGTCAAAATCTGATTGGAAATAATCTTTCCAGATGACGTTACATTTACTGAGCTGACCATTCCTCGTTTTCGTGGGCATCTCTAAAACTAGCTGAAGTTAGCACTGACTTTGTTGAGCTCTAGAGTAGCTATGGGTGCCAGAAATTAACTGACCAGGAGTATCTTTGGAAGCTAAGCTTATTCTCATTGTACCACTTCTTCACATTAGAAATTTGAGTGAAAAAGACAGACACTAGGATGCATCATCAAAAGGAGCCAGGTTAGGACTCGGGTTAGTATTGCCAAAGTGCCCACAGCCAGCTAGTCTAATCAGACTGAGTTTTAAATGGCATTGGAATTAAATGATTCCTCATCCACCCCAGAGTCTGTTTACTCAAGATTCTTCATGGAAGGAGTGCAGTTTGAGAGAGCAGGGAGGCAGGCGCATGTTCTCACCTGAGGCTGCTGTAGCATTTGTAGGGGTTGAAGCAGTTGCTTGATTCCGAGCATGAGCAGGGATGAGGATCGAAGCCAAAGATGGGTTACTTGACAGTTCTGGAGGGGAGGTGGAACAAACAGAGTTAGCTTATAGTCCACACAGAACCTCGGCATGCAGATTAACTCCTTGGGTTTCTCAGAAAACGTTACCATCAATGAAATGCATGTCCCAATAAACAAGGTCACATTACACTTCCATATAGGTCCACGAGCAAGAGGAAGCCACAGTGATATCCAGCATAGGAATCCAGCTGTGTTAGCTGCAAGAAGCAATCATTTCCCAAGGAAAGGAGATGACCATGGAGTTAGCAAAGCACCAACTAATCCTGGTCCTTGGAAGCAGCCTGTTAATGTGATTTGTTTCTGAGAATCACCCTTCCCCTCCACAAACATACACTGTCTTAGTCAGCCAAGAGGAGAAGGCTGATGACAACAGCGTCTTGCTTTGGGCATTGACTGTTAGCGATTCTCCAACAGCTCTAAGGAGTCAAATCCTTGGCTCACAAAGTCATGCAAGCTGGATGAGGTAATAGCTTGTATTGGACCAACTTCTGTTGGTAAGAGAAACAAGCATTCAAGAGATGCTATAATACTGCTGAGATGGGATGGTGCCGGTCTCACTCACCAATGCAAGTTGGTCCAGTGTAAGTTATTACCTCACCCACCTGTCCCTCTAATATCCTGGGACAGACATGGCTAAAACTGCACTGCATTAAACTCCACTAGTCAGGGACGCTCCACACTAACACCACGGACATAGCTGAGTCTCCTTATATGCTGCCAAGCAGTCTAGCTGGGCAGATATCTCCTTTAAAGACACAGTGAAAAGTCAAGGGGTTTGATTGTCAGATCAATTCCACAGAACACAAAAATATTACTACTGTTCTTTCTAAAAACCAAAGAAAAACAATTAAGTCACTGAAGCCCCAAATGTAAAATAGATTCAATATGTATCTGAGTAACAGATGTCTCATAATGGCAACTGCCGGTAACACTGAGCTGGAGATGATGGCTGGCGCCGACTAGGTCATCAAGTGATAATAGTGCAGGCTGCCCGGAAGGGATCTGTCAAGTACCACACTGAAGCCAGCAATGGCGCAGAAAGGAAGGAGCGTCTCTCAATGGCTGTGCCAGGAGTGGAAGAGACTGCCTCTAAAGGAAGGCACATCCAGATACAGCAACAGGACAGTCACCTCAAGGAAGGAGGAGAAAGACAAGTCTTGGCACTGCAAGAACTCTCCTGGGGGAGAAGTGCATGCAGGCAGTGGTTAATCTAAATTCTGTAGAGAGAGAGAAACCTGTTGCGAAACCAAGCCCGGTCACCCCAACACACACAGTGCAGTTTTGTACATGACTGCCCCGAGCTACTAGGTCTTATCTACAAGGCAGAGTAAAGAGCTTAAGTCTTTTCTCTAACATGAGCATTACATTTAGGCCTGACAAGGGCTGTGTCAATTTGAACCTCCCCCCTTTTCTCAACAAAAATACATTTAAAAAGAAAAAGTAATTGGCTGAGAAGCCCAGCTGGAGAAAGCACAGTTCAATTGCTTACTAACCTCTCACCAGTGTACAGTTTTGAGCTGTACTTCTATAAAATACACAAATTCTGACTGGACAGAAGCAAACATGCGTCACTGCAGTAACCAAACCAATACAATCCAGTGATGGGCACACCGCTACTAGTCACTCCCTGCCCAGAGACGTTAGTCTGCTATTTTCCCTCCCCAAGAGGGATTTCCTTAATCAGTTGGCATAGGGAAGCCATTGTGTGTCTTGCTCTTTCATACAGCTCCTGGAGCAAACAAATATACTTTTGTTAGCCTTGAGCTTGTAATTCAAGTGGGAAATGAGGTGGAAATATGGACAGCTATCCAAGCTTGAATGTAGCATGCCCTTCATCTTGCCTGACAGTACCTCATGACAGTAGTGTTTGAGAGATGGCAAACCCAGTTAAAATGTACTGCTACCAAGTGTCTAGAGCCAGACCTCTGTGTCTAAAATGTATGGCTGACCCAGTATAACTACAATGCATCAACCCTGCTTTCATCCCATTTTAATTCTCCCGGCATCTGGTCACTAAAGAAGTCCGCTCAGACTAGCAAAACGGCCACTGTTACTCACTAAAGCACCTTCCCACCTGTGGTTCAGGCAGAAGAGATCTACTAGAAGTGCAAATATGTTTGCAGCTATATGAGGGAGTAGAGATAACAGGCAGAAGACACCAACTTCTTCCCCATTGTATCCATGAACATAAATTCAGGATTCTGTGAATTGCACAGTATTTCAACAAGAGAGGGACGGATCAGTTCATAGAAAACAGAATAACTGATCCAAACCAAACTGAACTTTTTTGAAGTTTAATTGAAGATTTGGTTAAAAACTTAATTACATTTGTGCTCTCTCATTTGTGTGTAGCTGCCACACCCCTCATGGTTCTGCCCAGTACTGGGCATGCAAAATACTGCAGCAAATGACTGGATTTGTGTTACCTGCAGGCTGCCTTCCTGCCTCCCTTCTCTCTGATTTCCAGCCCAGGATTTGAAAAAGAACCTTAACTTTAGGGTGTCTAATTGTATTCAATCCCCAGCTCAGGACCCTGAAGCCCTCTCCACACTCTGTTAATAAATTAAACTAAATATCCTTGTAAGCAGCCATGGCATCAATGCCGTTAGATTGCAAAGAATTTAGCACCTTCTGTGCGCACACAACTGTCCAAGATATCTTCCAAGGACTGGCTGCCACTCTGGGGACCATGTCTTGAGCTCAGGTCTAGCAGAAAAGTGCAGTTTAGAGAGAGATATACATCCCCAGCAGGGAAAAGGAAGTCAAACATTGTAGATGTATCAGTCCAGCTTGTCCTCTTAGCTCCAGCCCAATGAATTGTCTTGTGTTTAGAAATAGCCGAGCAGACTCCACTCCCAGTATCAATGGGTTAGTTACTTCAGGAATCCCAGGATGCACTGGTAAAAGTACAGTTTGCTGTGTTGGCAAACATTGTGTAACAGTCACAAGGACAAGTCAGGGGACCAAACTTTTCACAGAGTTATGCCCCTGCAAGCTTCTCAACATAACCAAGCCATTCAGAGAGTTAGCTCCCAAACATTTCACACTACCCCCCCTTCCAAGCCAAGTTATTTTGTCTGAAAGTAACCTGGATCCATGCAGCACGCCAAAGGTTATCGTGAGAAGATTTCTAGTTATGTGTAGAAACAGGTTTCAAATGAAACTTTTTGATAAGAACGGCTCTGTGTCAAAGGCAGAGAACAATTTTCTGATCTGCTGGTTCAACTACAAAACTTCACATCAGTAACAAAAATATCAGATGCCTAGCAAACTCATTGGTTTGGTACAGGTACACCAGCAATCACACACAATAAAAAGTGATTCTCTGACTATGGGTCATCAAATGATGCCACTGAACTACAGCCTACTGGCTGATTACAAAGGACCAGGAGAGCCTGTTTTGGAACAAAACATCAAAATTAATTCGGTCTATGAAGTGCTTCTTCCCAAAGGGACTATCTAGAGCAAGGTAGACGGTGTGGCGCAGGTGTCTGTAGCACGCCATACAGCAGGAAGGGCTGCAAGCAGTGAGAGAAAGGGACGGTGTGCTTGGGGATTAGCATTAGAGGGAATCATGGAAGGTTGTGGGAAGAGGAGGAGGAAGGGAGTCAGGGACTGCACCTCCTGGGAACTTGTGCTGGGGCAGGTGAAATGGGAGTCTGGGAAGGGGGAAAGGAGGATGGATGGCCTAGCAGTAGCGCTATTCATGGGGGAGGAATGGGTAGGAAATCCAGGTTACCTAGACAAGCAGAATACTGGTGGGTATGGTAGGAAGAGAGCTTGGGAGTGGTTGATCTAAAGCATCGTGAAAAAAAATGTGGGGCACTCACTGAGACTGTTTTTGCCAGGCAAAGTTTCTCCCTAGACACAGTTCAGAACCAATACTCCATCCTCAACAACAGTCAGCTGCCTTTGGCACCACTGACCCTAGTTATCTTCTTGAAATCATGTCTTCCCTATGCCTTCTCCTGGCTCCCCTCCTACGTGACCATATGAGGATCCTCCTCCAACTTTGTGGGGTTCCACAGGGTTACATCCATGGTCCCCTTCCCCTCCTTCTCTATACCTTCCCTCTGGATAATCTTCATCCGCAAACACAAATTCATCTAACCTCTTTGTCTGGATTGGAGAACTCAGAGTCACCAGCACAGTCTCCTTCAGTTCAAATTAAATCTCAGCAAGACTGCAGCAGAGGGTGGGAGTAAACCCAATTAAGTCTTCAGATATGTTAAAGGTTGATATAAAGAGGGTCAATTGTTCTCCATGTCAAATGGGGTTAGACAAGAGGGGCTTCCTCTGCAGCAAGGGCCATTGGGATGGATATTAGGGAAAACTTTTGAACTAGAAGCATAGATAAGCACCAAAATAGCTTACCAAGGGAAGTTGTGGAATCCCTTTATTTGAAGGTTTTTAAGAATAGATTAGATCAGTGTTTCTCAAACTGCTCCGCGGAGCCCTGGGGCTACGCGAGACATCTCCTGGGGCTCCGCGAAGTTGACAAACTGGAAACATCGATAGGTACAACACACACAATCAGTGGACCTTTGGGGCTCTGCATAAATTTTTACGCATGTAAAGGGCTCCAGAGCCCAAAAAGTTTGAGAACCACTGGATTAGATAAACATTGGTCAGGGAAGATATGGGTAGACTTGGTACTGCCTCAGCACAAGGAGATGGACTAGAATGACATCTTGATGGCCCTTCCAGCCCTACATTTCATTATTAATCTATTTTACACTTGCAGTTATAAGAAGATACTGTCTTAATGCCTGAAAACTGGAAAATGGAATCCTAAAACTACCAGCACAGATCAGATAAAACTGTGGGCTTTATCTTAGGTACTGGCTATTCATCACCATTTCCAATACACAGCTGGGATGATGTGATACTTAGCATCTTATGGAAAGCCAATCTTGCATGAAAATGATGAAGATTTTTTTATCCCCTGCTTTTGGGGTCTCAGACAAACAGTGAGAACCACAGGCACTCCAGAGTTGGACAGCATTTCTTAAGAATAAATCAATAAAGTGCTTTTTAAAAGACAAATGCAATTTTAAACAATGGAATTCTCTTTTAGCTTCATTTATTACATGTGTAGAATGATTTTTAACATATGTTAGTATGTTCATTTTCCAATGGCTTGTCCAGTGACTGGCTGTCCTCTGGACAAGGATCTGTGCACACAGTCCAAGGTGTAGGATCTCATGATGGCAAAAGAAGGCCAAGAAGCTCACCAGCTGTTTCTGGAGATGGCATTCAGGGGTATACTTTTGAGTGCTGCCCCATGCAGTGGATACTGCAGTATGTTAATCATTCTAAAATCATGTCTAAAATCTTGATATTGAGTGCTTTATTCCTTCCTTTTTTGGACCTGGTTAGTGGCCTACACTCAGCCATGACTGCAAGCTGTGGATCTAGCCTTAGATGTGGAAATATACTAATTTGCTTCTCTTGGGGTGAGTATAGCTGCCTGAGCCAGGTCCCCCCCCCGCCCAAAATCTCTTCCAACATACTTTTGGAGAGCTCTACCGAATGACTATCAGCTCTCCAGTGGATTGCAGAGACACAAATGTTTGGGGAACAGGGTTAGAAGACTAGAAATCAGAGGTTAAAGAGTTGTCTGAGGTAGGGATAGCTTACCTAATGATTGTATATTTCTTTTTCTTAAACATTCTTCCTTCTCTTCCACATGTCAGGATAAATATTTGTGTTTGTTTCCCCCCATTGCTTTTAAACAGTTCATTTGATGTTTTATACGCTTGTGTTGCCAAAGCAGAAGCCCACCCATTCATGTAGTTTTTAATAATGATTTATAATAAACGAGTTTAAATAATTAAATGCTGGAATGAGGATGGGGTAGGAGTACATGATAGAGATGTACCAAATGAGAGAATATCTTAGTAACATTTTAGCTCCTCACAAGCCTGAAGAAAAGATGTAGGCAAGAGGACCGTACCTGCAATGAAAAGGGGTAACTCAAGACTGGGAAACAACACAGTGGAACTGAGCTAATAGATTGGTTACAATGCTGATAGACTTTGTAATTTCAACAATACTAGCAACACCTGTGCAATGACATGTGTGGACAAAGCTTTTTGGAGATCTAGCAGGACCGAACAGTACCAGAGCCCCCCAGCCCGCCCGCCAGTGCGGTCCCCCCCATGCAAACTGGCCATACATGTATTCCTAAAACTACATTACAAATTGGTTTAGCTCATGGAAGGTGTTTTGGTACATCCAACGCATGCACTTCCCATGTAGGTAGTGTAAGTCATGTTAAGTCAAAAGACTAAGCTTGTGTTTATCCTCCCTGATAGGGATCGAACTAAAGTTGTAACTTTCAAATCATGCTACATTGTACAGACAGACAAATCTTGCTTCAGTTACCTTGGTTACAATTGGGCACCATGTTCTAAAGTTGGGAGCATAGACCGGACTGTTTCAGGCATAAAAAGCTGGAATTTGCACTTACTCCAGAGCAGGTATCAATGCCTACACTACATGACCTGAACTGGAATGGAAACAGAGTCCTGGCAGGTAAGAGAGCACAGGGATTCTCCCTTACCCCAGTGCTAAGAGCTTGCAGTTATATATTTATAAGACTACACTATAGGTTGCACCTCCCAAAACCAGAAATCTCTGGGCTGGTAATATCAGAACACGGATGTTCCTTGATCAGAGAACCCTGGTGGCCTAGTAGCAGGAGGACAAACTAGGAGGGGCCGCGCTGAAGCAGCAGCATGGGGCAGCCTGACAGCCTGCAGCACTGGGACTGGGTCAGGGCAGCCTCCCGCAGTGCGCAATCCGGGCCAGCAACAGCCTATGACAGAGCCCATACAGCCTATGGAAATGGGACCAAGGCTAGGGCTGGTGGCAGCCCCAAGCAACGTGGGGCTGGACCCCCAGGCAGCCTGCAGAAGCGGGGCAAGAGCCCAGGCTCTCGGCAGTCCGTGGACGAGAGACCAGGTCCAGGACTGGAGAAAGCTCCAGCAGCCCACGGCAGTGTGGGGCTGGAGCCCCAAACTGCCCACGGAAGCAAGGCTAAAGCCCACAGGCTGCAGAAGAGCTGGGCCCCTGGCAGCCTGACCAGGGCTAGAGCCAGCCCCCGGTAGCATGGTTTGCTGAAGCACAGCAGGCAGTCCAGCTGGAGCAGCAGCAGTGGGGTCAGCAGCCTAGCAGAGGCTGGAGGGAGTCCCTCCACCTCCCCCCTCCAATCCCTGACAGCTGACAGAGGGTGGCTGGGGGCTGTGGCAAGGAACCATCGCTAGTATGGCAAATTCCCTGGTTCAGGACCAGTCAGGTCCCGAGGGTGCTGGATAAGAGAGGTCCCCAACATGTACGACACTAACAAGCTTGCATGCCACATTTCCTGCATTCCATATTTCACCAGACCAACTCTGAACACTCATCAAGTGTGAATGGAGAGATTAAATAGTGTAAGGGATGTAAGCGAGAAGGGCAAGGATGGCTAATTGACACTGGTGTGGCCACCAACTGTTCAACATGAAACATTCTGTGGTCATCCTGAGTAATTTAAAAAGTTACACACTCAAAAGTTCTTACTGTATTTAATGCTGAAGGACGGATGTAGTATTTACAGCCCTGGAGTACTGCAGACTCCATATGTGATGCCCAGAATGAACACAGTCTGGGCAGCGGCAGTGCAATGATGGAGTTTCCTCCATTGGTTCCCAACAACCTACCTCAAACATGATGAAACAGGATTATCTTTAGAAAACAATTCAGTCTCTGCTGGCCATTGGGTACTCAACCTCTATGGTTAGGCGCCAATCAAAGGTGTCAGCTGGACTGTGGACACTAGGAATTGGACTGAAGCTGCAAACTTACTTTATGCAATCTTTCAGTCCCCTGTGGACTGAATTTGAATCAATAATGCAAGAGGATAACCATTCTATACCCTTTCTTCCCCTACCCCATAGCTGATTCAGTCCATTTTTGAGAGAGATTGCTGGTTACATAATTAGTCAATGTTCTTGTCCCACCTCTTGATTCTACTACTGGGAGAATGGTATTTGTAGGACAGAACTTTTGGCACAGTGCTTCTTCCCAAGAGAAGGATCCTTTATGCTCACAGGCTACCTTGAGTGGTGAAGTTGAAGAGTGCAGGTTTCTCTCGCCCATTTGGTAGTTTGACATTTGGGTCCCGTAGTTCGTCAAAGAAAGAGTGCGCACATGCTTCCAGGGGAGTCAGGCGGGCGGTGGGTGTGTACTCCAGCAGACGGCTACATAGTGCGATTGCTTCTGGTGGCGTGCGGGGTCGGAAGACCTACAGAAAAACAAGAGACAAATTGTTTAGGCTTGTTTCTTTCTTCACTACTTCAGCAGCAAGCAAGAGCAATTAAATCTCTCAGTGCCCAGTGGTTGAAACGAAATGTTATTTGTGCTCAAATAATGGTTCTTCACTTGTTGGGATGGGAGAATCCAGCCTCCGGTGTCGAAAGGGTCAAGTGCAAAGGGTTATGCTATGTGAGGCAAGGTGCAATGCTAGTGAAAGACTGCATGGGAGAGCTCAGAAAAACAACTTTGTTCTTAAAGGGAAGATTCATGGATCTTATGACCACACATAGTGGGGTGAAATCAGCCATGCATATGATGGAGAAAACGGTGCAAATGAGCAGGATTCACTGAAAGTCAAAATTAAAAGGCTCTCCTGTGTGTATTTCGGCAGTAAACAAAAGATTTTCCCTTCTAGGCAAATTGGCCAGATTATTGCTATGGATGACACTGTTCAAGTTTGCAGGTGCTTCTTCTTGACTTTATTGTGCTAAGTGAGTCCTATGAATTAATGGGGACAATTCCTGCACATTTGGAGTTTGTGAGAATGGCCAAGTTGTGGTGAGTGAGAAAGCTTTTTGACTCTCTCAAAAGTTTACCTTGAGTTTATAAACTAGAGTTCACAGCAGTTCCTTGAAATTGTAGTTCAGACCCCTTAAAATGGTCCTACATAGCAAGAATGACACCCCAGATCTAACTTCCCCATTTCATTACATTCAAAGCAAATTTGGACAGTCACATACATGCCCCTAAAACCCTGCTTCTGCAGTTTCCTTTCACTGTTTCATGCGGAATATAGGCCAGGGAGAAGTGTGGTGGGAGGTGAGGTGGGAGTGTTAAATTGTGAGATCAGAATTTTTTATGCAATTGAGCTAATCCAAAAAACTTCTGCCCCAATGCAGGTTACCCCAAAGCACCTAGCACCAAGGAATGACCTACAGATCACATGCTAATGGACTGCAGAACCCACACCTGTACAGACTCTGCTTCAGTGAATTTTAAACTGAAGTCAATTAATTAATTAAATTAATTGAAATTAATCAGGTCACCAACAATAATTAACTGATTTTTTTTACCCCTTGGTGCCCAGCAGGGTCAGGTGCCCAGAAGGGTCAGGAGCACCTGAGTTAGTTCCAATGCATTCTGTACTAATTCATCATGTCAGGGAATGGTGTCGAAGAGTTCAGGTATGAAAAGTGCAGAATGTGTTCAGGTTGCTGGAAAGATACTGTGACTACTACAGTGAGATAAGAAAAAGCTTCAGATTGGCCCTGACACCCAAATAGTGTAGCTGCAGTCATAGAACTTCTGCTGACTTGAAGTAGCTGTGTGTGTATTTCTAGGGGGAGAAGTGGATGGAGGCTATTTACATTCTGTGTCAAAACCCAATGCCTCCAGGGTTTGGATTAGTGACCACAATACAAGGGTATGGTGGCACAATATTCCCAAGTTACAGTCTCCTTTTATTAAATGAAGATAGAAAAACAAAGAACACTGAAATCTGCCCTTTTCAACAGGTATCCCTTTGTCTCTCCCCCTTATACTCTTCACATTTCAGGTCAGAGAACCCCTGTCAATATCTATATATAGATTTAAGAAACAACTGCTCAACCTCTGTCTGGACTGGGAATAAGTCACTCACCGTTAGCATTAGTACAATGATCCACATCAGAAATTGAAAAACCAAAAATCCCCACACAAATACCAACCCCCCGCAAATAAAATAGTAATTTAAAAGTGAAACATGTGCAGATCTAATGCCTGTCTAATCATTACCTTCTTTTATATGACAAGGGAAAATATTCACCTGGCTGCTATCTGATGTGTTTGAACCCGACTTTTGCACTTCTAGCTTTTCTCTCTGATCTTTTCAAGACTAGCCCTAAGAATTCGAAAAAATGTTTAAGTACATACCCGCACTCCTGAGGTGAAATGTCCTGTTCCTGACGAGTCCTAAAGATGATAATGCAGTGAAATAATCCAAACAGGGGGAGTCAATCCAAAAGAGAATAGTCCAGCAAGGAAAAATATATCGAATATTATAAGAAATCCATGGTGTGGGGGACATAGAAAATGTTTATACAATTAGAAACTTTAAACATCAGTCTCCATAGCAGCTAGTCCAACTTGACCACAGTGTATGCCAAAAAAAATTGTGCAATGGTGAGGCATAGTATAGAAACATTTCTATGTTAATTTATGTTCCAATGCCAGTGCGTTTACTTAAAAAAATAAACAAATAACAAAAAATTGAAATCAAAATTCTAACTAGAAAGGAAAGGGTAACTGAGTTGCCATATTAAAGAATTTGCAGTCCTCTCTGTCCTGGATATAAATGTCCATAGACAACGGGGCTGAATTAGTTTGTCTCCATGTGTGCATCCCTCATGCACAGACTACTCATTTTTCCTTTGTAAATCTGTCCCAGAGAAATAATGTGAAAAATTTTTAAAAAACCAATTTATGATTTGTGCTGAAGACAAAATACAAATTTTGTATTTCTAATTTGACTGTTTTAAATTTGTGTGAGCTATGAGTGTATCAGGCCGCCGCGGATTATTCTCCATTTTGGATTGACTTCCCCACCAATGGATTTGTTTTGATGATGTTATCTCTTTAGGGTTCTTCAGGAACTGGACATGTCTCCTCAGGAGTGAGGGTATGGACTTAATTTTCTCACTTTATTGTGGGCTTTTCCCCCTCATACCCTCGCATCCATTACTTTAAAAAAAATCTTAGCTGGTTTCTCTCTCTTTTGCAATAGCAAACTAAAAGTAAAGCAAAAACTTGCATTTTAGCTGCAGTAATTCAACACAGTTCCACCTGAAATTCTGCCTAATTCACCCACCAAGAACTACACAGAAGGGTACATTAAATATTAAGCGCAAGGGACAGTCACAGTTACAGGTGAAGTGCACAACGATGTGTATGCCAACACTTAAGCACAATGGGGCACATCCTGAATGCTGGGATGGTGTCAGAGCTCTATTGTGCCTGAGTGCCTAGAGGACAGACGTGACTCACCGTTAGCTGTGAATTCCCTCACTTTTACATTCTGGTGAGACAGTTTAACACTCTTAATGTAGTTTTCAGTGAGAGAATTATTTAGTAAATAATCCGCGGATTATTTTTTAGTCTGCGGACTAAAATTTAGTGCACGGACTAAAATCCGGCCCATCAGAGTATAATTTACTTCACTTTATAATACATGTGGGTGAAGGGGGAAAAAGCTAAGTTCACAAAGCAAATTTAGTTGGGGAGACTAACGTTTAGTATGCAGACTAAACACAGCTGTGCAAAATGCGCAGCAAGGCCACAAACAAAAACAAAAACAAAAACAAAAAAACACTGACAGGAACTTTTAAAGTGATCAAATACTACCCCACCTGCGCAGCAATTCATTTTTATAAAATGAAACTACTCCTTTATTCAAGGTGAGATGTCCTCAGTACAGATTATTAAAAATGAATGTGTTTTGGAGATAAACAAATGCAAAAAAGTCTTTACTTATAACATTTCACAAGCAGAATTTGCACTTGCATAACTCAAAAACGATGTTTCTCAAAATAAATCATTTGCAGGCTGAGACCTCGCTCGCCAAAGTTTCAGCCACAATCGCATTTTTTATGGTTGAGTTACAACTGCCCTGAAAATTCTTGAGTAGAATGTACACGTAAATTCATCTGAATAGCCATACAGCTTTTCCCTTCCATTCCCCAATGACTCTCTACTGTGGCAAAAAAGCTGGAATTTAATGCAAGTTCTTCCTTTTTTCAAGTCTGTTATCAATGTTTACATGATAATAAACCTTCATGGCTAAATAGGAAAACCAAGTCTGCTGCCTCTTCCAAATGGCTCCTTCTTCCTAATATACAATGTGACCAATATGCACTTTGTAGAGACTGACAATCATCTTTGACTTTTCAAAAAACATTGCCAAGTTAAATGCCTCTAATACAATACCTGCTCCATTCCTCAGAAAGGTAAATGAAGAAAGAACATATGTGAAATCTTTGTGCACTTTTACTCTTAACTAGCTATAGTTGGTTAACAGTGCTCATGACCTGACTGAATTTTAAAATCTTCCTACAGCGAGAGTGGGAAGAAAGAGGACAGATGGGGCTCAGGACACACACATCAGCATTCAGCTCTCAAAACCAGACATGATGGGTTACTGGCACTGTATTGTTTTAACCAAATGGCTAGACTGACTTTCAGTCATGCACATTCTTATAACAGAGCTTTTTCGTGCACAACATGGAAGTCTTTGTATAATTAAGTACTGAATCAAAGCCTTCACAATGTAACCCCAGCATGCTCTTCTATCCTCATATGTATTAAGACATTATTTCATGCCATCAGCCACCATCTGTTTTGCATGCAGATTGTTAGCACACAATCTGTGACACTATGACATTTAAGAGAACAGAGGCTTTAAAAATAACTGTTTGTTACTATTACATAAGAAGAGCCATACTGGGTCAAGACCAATGGGCCAACGAGCTCAATATCCTGTCTTCGGACAGTGCCAGGTATGTCAAAGGGGATGCACAGAACAGGGAATCTTCAAGTGATCCATCCCGCTACCCAATCCCAGACTCTGTCCAACAAAGGTGAGGGACATTTCAGAGCACGGTTTTGCATCCCCGTCCATCCTGGCCAACAGCCATTGATGGACTCATCCAGTTCTTTTTTGAACCCTGTTACAGTCTTGGCCTTCACTACATACTCCGGCAAAGAGTTCCATAGCTCATTGTGTAGTATGTGAAAGTACTTCCTTTTGTTTTAAACCCACTGCCTCAATTTCATTTAGTTTTTTTTTTATGAGACAGCTGATTGTGTAGTATGTGAAAAAGTACTTCCTTTTGTTTTAAACCCACTGCCTCAATTTCATTTAGTGTTTTTTTCATGAGAAGTAAATAATGCTTCTGTATGTATTTTTTTCACAATACTCATGATTTTATAGACCCCATCACATCCTCCTTGGCTGCCTTTTTTCCAAGCTGAAAAGTCCCACTCTTATTAATCTCTTCTCATATGAAACCTGTTCCATACCCCTATTCATTTTTGTTGCCATGTCTGAACTTTTCCCAAATCCAATACATCTTTATATTTTGGATTATGTTTTCCAATATGCATTATTTTGAATTTATTAACATTAAATGTCATCTGCCATCTTGTTGTCCAGTTACTCAGTTTTATGAGATCCTTTAGTAGCTCTTCGCAGTCTACTTTTCATATAACTATCTTGAATAGTTTTATATTACCTGAAATTTTGTTCACCTCTTCTTCCTGATCATTTATTAATATATTGAACAGTACTGGTTCTAGTACAGATGCCCAGGAGACACCACTATTTACATAAGAAAGAACACGCTGGGTCAGACCAAAGGTCCATCTAGTCTAGTATCATGTTTTCTGACAGTGGCCAATGCCAGCTGCCCCAGAGGGAATGAAGGGAAGAGGTAATCATCAAGTGACCCATCTCCTGTCGCCCATTCCCAGCTTCTACCTCTCTCTTTAAAAAAAACTGTCCGCTTATTCTGTGTCCCGTTTTTTAATCAGATCCACAAGAGGCCCTTCCCTCTTATTTCATGACAGTTTACTTCACTTAGGAGCCACTGGTGAAAGATCTTGTCCAAAGGCTTTCTGGAAATCTAAGTTCACTGTATCTCCATGTCCACTTGTTTGCTGACCCCATCCTCCCAAGAATTCGAGTAGATTGGCAAGGTATGCTTTTTCTTTACAAAAAACATGTTGACTCTTCCCCAACAAATTGAGCTCATCTATGTATCTGACAATTGTGTTCTTTTCTATAGTGTTAGCCAGTTTGCCCAGCACTGAAGTTAGGCCTGCTGGCCTGTAATTAGAAATGTCAGCTGTTAACCGTTAGGCATCACCCTTACCAGGCTTAGAAGCCCCTACCAGACTGGCTCCCAGTCAAAACTGACACACTTAACTTTTAGCCTCCAGGTCAGAACACTTGCCTGGGATGTCAAGACTCAATTCCATCCTCTATCAGAAAGGAAAAGGGGATTTAACAGGGGTTTCCCAGCTCTCAGCAGATTGTCCTAACTATTGAGCTGTGGGAAATCGTGTTATGCAGCTCCCTTAGTCTCATCTGTTGAAACCACTCCACTTTGGATAACAAAACAGTGATAGGAGCAGGGGGACTGGACCCTGGTTTTCCACTTCCAAGGGTAGGAGAGGGAGCCACTCTCACGTTCTCTGACCCAATGACTAAATATTTATCCATAGCAGAACTGCCACTGTGTTCAGCACTGCAATGCCTAAATCCCTATGAAAACCCAAGCTAAGTGACTTAAGGGAGTCCATGCACAGTTGAGAACAGAACCAGAATCTTGAATCCCACACTCAGTCAAAAATCAATAGACCACAAACTTGTCACTGGATTATTTCCACAGTGCATTTGACTTTTGCGGAGTTCTCAAAGAAATACAGATTACCCAACAAGTTGTTCAGCTTCTGCCAAATCTTAAATGAAAAAAAGATATAAAGTAAGAAAATAATTCCTTTTTACATTCACTTGGGACACTCAATTTGAACTGCTCAGGGCCCTCCAAGGAAATACACCATCACTGGCTGAGAAGGCAAAGCAGGAGGTCAACACAAAGGAAGTTTCACACTAAACTTTGAATTTCCTTGTTCTACAGGCTACAAACAACATTTTTAATATTATAGTAATTAAAAAAAAAATCAAAGGACTTCTTTTGTTACACACAAACTCAGGAATTTCTTTGACAGTGTTGGGGGCAAGAACTAGGGATGTTAAAATTAATTTATTTTGGTAAATGTGTACCTGCTGAAATTGTCAGCAGTTACACATTTGCATGCAGGGGGAGCTGGGACTGGACAACAGGGGATGAGCACCAGAAATTACGTTGTCCTGTTCATTCCCTCTGAAGTATCTGCAATTGGTTACGGAGTTAGAT